ATCCCAGTCAATACGATGAATCTTTCCTTATTTAGTAGGGAGCTCACCAGGGCCTAAGGCATGGACATCAGTGTTCTCTCTTCCCTTTGCATGTCATATACATGTTGGTCTGTCACCCTAGTTTCTTCCTTACTTCAGTCTCAGATACATATCCAACCATCTTCAGATTTATAGATATGTGGGTATTTCTGGTATCAACGTGATGATGAGAGCAGTTGTGTTTGAGTTTAAACTCTTTTGTTGGTTGTAGTCTACATGGAAGAAACACTAACAGTATTTTACCCAACCTCAATGTTGATATCACTCTTTCAGTTTCTTCATGTAGATGAGTTTGCTTGTTAGTCCTTTACTAAATTACCAGTGATAGTAAATGTTATCCAATTAATTTTCTTTCCTCAGATGCTCTTGATAAGATAAACTCATGCTTGTTAATACTAATAATTTATAACATATAAATTTGGAATGTTATTGGAATAATACAGATGCACAGTTATGGCATTTACTGACTTTCTCATCCAATGTTTTAATTATCCAAGTAGTTTACTATTATATTTGTAATATGGAATGTATTTGATGTTTCCATTTCTAAAGAAACACTCAAAATCCAATTATATTATTTGTAAACAAGCAGTAGCAAATACTGGACAATAATTACTTTTCATAAAGTGCTTCTAAGAATTCTGCACTTATATTATGTCTGAGATTAATTGAAGTCTGGGGACATTCTCCCATGAGATGTCCCTCAAGGATTACCCTATTCTGTGGTTTACAAAAGATATGGAAGGATTTGTTCTGATCCAGAAGATTGCACTTGATATTCACATGCTGACCTCTGACTTGAACTAGGTGTGAAGCCTAAATCTAACTTCAGAGATCAGGAGATATAATAAATCAAGTTTCTCTGGACACAAATTGACTAATATAATACAAAAGAGTCATAGTATATGAAGAAATGACAGCAGCTACTGGAAATTCACCAGACAGCTATAACTAGGGTGAAGGAAGCAGGGGAGGGAGGCTATTACTTCATTGATTAATATTGAAAAAATGCATTCCCCACAGGAAATTGAGTCTCATTTTATATCCTCTCCCAGACCACAGACTCTGGGAAGAATCCTTTGAAAAGCATGAGGAGGTAAGTTTCGACCATATGAAAAGTAACCCTGCTTCTCACAGTGAATCATGATATATGAAGTATACTCCCTTAGTAATTGAAAGAAGGAGGAATCAAAAAAACATCAATTGGTTTAGTAAATCTGTAAATGACCAGAGAGATAGTATATTATCTTGATGGAGGGAAGTTATGGATAAAACTGCCTTGGTCCTGAATTCTTCAGTCATTGGTTAACAGGAAACACAGTAAGCGTATATTATTTAACCCTAATTTTCTTCAGTATTGCACATAGGATTCATATGAACAGTCAGTGGATTAATGCATGCAAATCACTCTTTGACAGTTAGTGAACTCTCCATAATCACAGTTAGTTAACAGTTCTAATTTATGGTATTATAATTATTATTGTTAATATTTCCTACATTATACTGTCAATAGAAGGAAACAATCACATCCTCCAGGAGCACATCTTTTAGGATTATTTCACCTCAGGGTAAGAGGAGCACTATTTGGATCCTTCATAGCAAAGATAGTGCTCCTCTTCTTAGGAATTGTTTTTCAGAAGAGTTTAGGGGCATTTAGAGAAACAAGGAGTTATGATTGCGCATAAACTGCACATTCTTTAAATTACCATTTGTCATTTATACAAAAAAAAAAAAAAAACTTGGTTCAGCCCTTAAACAATAGAGAAATTTGGTCCCTTGAGCTATTGATAGGAAATTTGAAATTCTCTAGTGAAAATAAAAACATATTGCCATTTTTAGATGAGACATTGCAGAAAATTAAACTTCCTTTTACTATATTTCTAGATTTAAATATATTATTAATCATTTAATAGAAAAATAATTGCATGTTGATAAAATACTTTGTATTCATTTATTAATTTACTGTATATCCATAATTAGGTAAAGATTGAATCTGTAGTCTGTTAATTTCAGTTTTTTGTTGAAACACCATATCAGTATTACAAATTGTACATCCAATGTTTATTGATTTAGTACTTGAAAAAGTACCATTTATAAGGTTGGCTCTCCTGAGAACATGGCAATCTCTCCTTTTATGTTTGAAAGAATAATCTGAATATGTGAGCTATTCACTAATTTTCAAGCTTACAAAGATGATAGACACAGAACCCTTGATTCTTCCAAAGACATGATGTTATTCATTGTAAGTGCAGTTAACTACTGTCTTAATACTTTATCGTTGGATGTTAAATTCTGTTCTAATTTTATTTGATTTGTAAATTAATTCTTGTATAGTAATTGAAGTAGAGATACATTGTCTTTGCTTTAATGTAACATTGTGTTCATTGTTTATAAATGCAAATAGATACAGGGGAATTCAATGACATTTGCTATAAATATTCTTGTCATAATTTGAACAGTTTTTTCTTAAGTTAAGATGTGGTGATCTAATGAATTACTTTGTCCTCCTTGTTGATAAATAAATGAACACAGCCTGGCCAAAAAAAAAAAAAAAAGAGAAAACTAAAAGTAACTTTTCCTCCATACTCCTAGACCCAAGGGAATATAAGAATATAAATAGTATGTAATTTTAGAATATTTTCAAGATACAAAATATCACATATTTGGTCCTAACCAGCTGATCTGTAAAACAATTATTTGATAATTGAAAAGGGATTGCTTGTAAGCACAGAGATAGGAATAACTAGTTATCAGTATATACCAAAAACAGTGTTTGATGCTTTGTCATTCCTAGTGTATGTCATTTTGTAGTGTTTATCTCTATTTCCCATTCCTAGACTATAAGCTACTGAATCAACCACAGCTAATAATATCCCTTGCTTTGTTGTTATTGGAGAGGTGTTTACATATCAAAAAGGCAAAAAGATAGGAAAGCATCATGAATGAGAAAACCTCAGAAAAGCAGCCCAGGACCCCTGAGGCACCCAGAAACCCAAGTTCCTTACAGAAAGAAAGTTTCTTAGGATAAAATCATTCTAACAATTGTTCAAAAAGATTTATATATTTATGCATACAAGAGATGGGGTACAGACCAGAGGTATGGGCTAGGGGGTTGTGAGGATTCACCAGAGAGAGTGGAGAGCAGACCAGTCACATCTACTGAAATACACTGCTGAGGGGAGCAGCAAGTGAGAAAGGAGAGGTCTGCTGTGCCATGTGGGTTGCTCACTAGCCGGCCTGGGATCAAACTTGCACTGCAGTGGCTGGTGATAGCTTGATAGTGCTGTGTCTTTAACCCCTGCACCACTAGGGAAGCCCAGTTTTTTTTTAGTAAATTTAACATCAATGTGTTAAAGAGAGGGCACAGGCAGTTGAGCGCCACCCTGTGAAGCTATCCACAATCTCTGCAGCGTGGGTTTGATCCCAGCTGGCTGGGGAGAATCCCACATGGCAGGGCAGACCTCTCCTGCCTCACCCACTGCTCCCCTTAGCAGTGTATTATGACAGTCTGCCTGTTCCCCACTCTATCTCTGGTGAATCCTCTCACCCTCCCACATATCTGGCATCACCCTCCCACACATCTGTACCCCGGTTCTTGTATAAATAAGTAAATCTTTAAAAAATGTGTTAAACATTACTTTGTTCTCTTCCCATTTTATCTAAGGCATCATATGATGTTTTATTTTAATTATTCAAAAAAGGAAGTCATAGGGATACAACAAAGTATTTCAAATATGTTGTTGATATTGAAATCAAAATATCTGCTTGTCACTGTTTGAAAATAGAAGAGACATTGCATCATAGTTCACAAAAGAAATCAACTCATTGATGTAGGGTTTGAATATGAGGTTTTTGTTATCAGATAAATGAGAGTGTAAGTCTTCATTTGTCATTTGAAGAAAGAGGCTGCTCCTACAAACAGGGAAAGTTAAAATTCATTTATGTTAAAATTCATTAATGTTCAAGGATAAAACTGAAAATTAAGATAACATTTAATAAAATAAGAATTATGGAAGTTAACAAACAAAACAAATTAAACATTTGTCTGACAATTAAAATTTCTTACACATAGCTTTGTGAAGTCCTCAAGGGAAACTCAAGAAATCATCTGGGGTGGAGATAGAGAGAATAGGACATTCCAAAAGCAAATTTGCAAGACTTGAAATAGACTATATATATAAAAAAAATCAAGCACATAGGTAAACTAGTGGTTAAGTAAGAGATTGTTATAAAAGAGCCAAATTTTTCTAAAATCAAGTTTATTTTATAACTTTAAAAAAAATTATATGCCACCATATGACCCAACAATTTCAATCTTAGAAATCTACCCAAAGGTCGCAAAATCATTAATTCAAAAGGAAACTTGTATTTCTAAGATTATTGGAGCACTATTTACAACCGCTAAGATATGGAAACAACTCAAATGCCCCAAAGCAGATGAGTGGATCAAGAAGATGTGGTATACAGACAAAATGCAGACTACTCAGTGATCAAAAATGATAAACTAATGCTATTCACAACAACATGGATAGAGCTGTAAGGGATGATGCTCAGTGAAATAAGTCAGAAGGAAAAAGAAATATATCAGATAGTTTCACTTATAGAAGGAATATAGGGCAACCACATAAGGGATCAGAGAAAATAGACAAAATTAACAGGCAAACTATAAATCGGAGATATTCAGCAGGACAGGGGGAGGGAGAGGGATCAAAATAGGGGAAGGAAGAGCATAAGTGACTGTATTATATAACTGTTAATTTCAAGGCAGAAGTGTGTTGATTAGGTGAAGTTTTTATTCCCTGTTTTTCCTTTATGAGAATATGAAGTATTTGGGGTCTTATCTCTAGGGATTCAGAGAAGCATGTCTGGCCAAGACAATTTTTTTTTTTAAAGACTATACCCTCTGTAATATTTTGTTGTCTTTCTGTTTCTCAGTTGAGGGACAGACCTTGAATGAAAATATGGACCAGAATAATGAAACTTCAACTGACTTCATCCTCCTGGGACTCTTTCCCTGGTTTGGACATCCTTCCCTGCTCATTCTCATCATCCTTCTCTTTTATACCATTGCCTTTGCTGGAAATTCCATACTAATCCTCCTCATCTGGCTGGATGCCCGCCTTCACACACCCATGTACTTCTTGCTCAGTCAGCTCTCACTCATAGACCTGGCTTACATCTCCAGCACAGTCCCCAAGACAGTCATCAACTACTTCACAGGGAAGAAAAACATTTCTTATTTTGCCTGTGTCACACAACTCTTTTTCTTTCTTACCCTTAGTCTTGCTGAGTGTATCCTGTTGACCCTCATGGCCTATGACCGCTATGTGGCTATTTGCAACCCCCTAAGATACACAGTCCTTATGAGCCCTAGGGTCTGTTTGCAGATGGCATCTGCAGCCTGGATTGGGGGAGCTCTTGCAGCCCTTGTCCACACGATCTACCCTATGCATTTCCCTATCTGTGGTTCCAGAAAGATAAATCATTATTTTTGTGAGATGCCTGCCATCCTGAGAATGTCTTGTGTGGACATATCGACTTATGAGATGGTGAAATTTGTGTCAACTATTGTGTTTCTCCTGGTCCCATTTATTCTGATTCTGTCCTCCTACACCCTCATCTTCCTCACTGTCCTCAGGATGAACTCTCGCAAGGGCAGGAACAAAGCCCTGGCCACCTGCTCCTCCCACCTGACAGTGGTGAGTCTCTATTTTGGTCAGGCCATGTTCATCTACATGACACCCAATTCTTCTCTAACACCTGAGAAAGACCAGGTAGGAGCTGTGCTTGGCACCATAGTGACCCCCATGCTCAACCCACTCATCTACAGCCTGAGGAACAAAGAAGTGGTGGGGGCTCTGAGGAAGTGTTTAGGAAGATGTTGCAATTGAGAAAATGATCTGGTTCTTCATTTCTCTAAGCACCTAAGTGTATTCATAGGCTATATTTATATTTTACTAGATGTAATATGTAGTTGTATTACTTTTTCCTTCTAAATTTACAAAGAACATAATTAGCCATATGTGAATAAAACAGTGGTAAATTAATAATTTTTTGGAAGTCAATAAGAATTATTTAATTTTTCTACTAAATTTCTCCATTTTCTTTTGTGTATTAATATTTATATTTAGAATCAAATGAAATAGCTCACTTTATAATTTTATAATGTTTTTAGTGTGAGGGCACATCTTAAAATACAATACTGAATTTTCAAGTGAATATATTGTCTTTTTTAAATAAAATAAATTCGGATATTACTGGGACCTTCCCAGGGGTGCAGCGGTTGAGCGCTGGGCTGTGAATCTGCCTGCAGCCTCTGCAGCACCGGTTTGATCCCCGGCTGCCAGGCGAGGGTCCCACATGGCACGCAGACCTCTCCTGATGTGCCCTCTGCTCCCCTCAGCAGTGTATTTCATCAGTCTGCCTGTTCTGTTCCCCGCTCTGGCTCTGGTAAATTCTCTCACCCTCCTGTTCTTCTACTGTACCCAGTGCTTGTATAAATAAATAAATCTTTAAAAAAATAAAAATAAATTCTGATATTACAAATTTATACCTAATCTGACAGTTTACCTTTCAATTTTCTTGTTATTACACTTCCAAAACTGTTATCATCACAAGACTGCCCTCTTAAAATGTTTTCTAATATATAAATATGATCAATTAATAAAGTATAAGTATCACTTTTCAAAAAAATAAGTATCAGAGAGAATTAAAATAAAAATGACTGCTGTTTGCCCTAGTACTTTTCCTAGTCTCTATCACTCACCATTTTCCTGGATGTGTGCATATCACACCCATAGTTACTTGTATATTGTTACAATAATATAGTATGTGGTTACATACTATATTACATGCATCAAGTGAGGTGGATTTAACTGTGTAAGTTTATTTTAACCTCTAGTTTCGATAAGTAAACTTATACCAATGATGATTTATGAAAAATATTGATATATCATTCAAAAATAACAATTTATTAAGGCATAATATTCATATTGTCTTGCAAATAAGGCCTAAAGGATGTAATGGAACCACATGGTTTTCTGTTACCCCAAAAAGAATCCATCCTTTGTTTTGCTAAGTACACTTTTCAAATGATTAACTCTACTCCATCACAAGATGGACAAAACAAGAAGACCATTAAAGAAAATTAACAAAAGTAGATTATTAGTCATTGCTGCATAATCAAGCCAAATTGCTACAATATAGTATGCACACAAGTCTTTGTAGTATATTTATTTATAATCAAAGTGAAGCAATCAAATATATTTCAAAAGAGATGTGAATGAATAGGCTGTGTTATATTCATATACTGAAATACTATTCAATGATAAGAAGGAATAACCTACTTGTTGATACATACAACAAGGAAACAAGTAGATTGCATCATGTTTTAAAAAGATATATTTATTTATGCATACAAGAGCTGGGGTATAGGCCAGAACTCAAGGGGGTTGAGAGGTTCACCAGAGACAGAGTGGGGAACAGAACAGGCAGATTGACTGAAATACACTGCTGAGGGGAGCAGCGAGACAGACAGGAGAGGTCTGCTGCACCATGTGGGAATCTCTCTGGCCACCTGGAAATCGAACCTGCACTGCAGAGGCTGCGGACAGCTTCACAGTGCTGCACTCAACCCACTGCGCCACTGGGGAGGCTCTAAAGAGAAATTTATTTATGATAAATGCTTATCCACATTGGGCCCCTGTAAATGCTATAGTAAAATGCTTGTGAGATCCACAGAAACACTATTATAGAGATTTTCATGCATGACATTAAAGGCTTTAGAAAGTCTTTGTATGGAAAATCACATACTCCAGTTTAATCTTGTAGTTGTTTTCCACTTGAGACTTTTTCTTAATTTGAGATTTCTTTGTCATCTGGAGACCCTAGGAACAAAGAATGATTTTATATATGAACTTAACAATGCCTTATTCCTTTACAATTGATAGGTTGTTTCAAAATGTTTTGTCCTCTTGTTTCTTTTTTAATTTCTTTTTCTGTGGCTTTTCATTTGCATGGCCTTCCCTGGTTGTTCTTTCCATTCCCCCTCCCCCTTATTTTCTTGTGTTTTTATTCTAGAATTTTTCTTTTTGATTACCATGAGGGAGATATCAAAATTTTCATGTGTTAAAAATTCTTTATAAGCTGCTATTGACTTGTTCTAATATTTTCTTCCCTCCTTTAGTGTTGTCTAGTTTCTTACTAATTTTTATTTTCGTATTCCATATTGTTATCACCTCTTTGCTCAAGGTTGTTTTTTGTTCTTATTGAAGAATCCCTTCTTGTTTTCTTGTAGAACAGATAAATTCCATTAGCTTTTGTCTGGGAAAACTTTTATTTCAGTGATAAAAAAGCTTCATATTTGAATAATATTCTGTTAGCTGGAATATTATTGGCTAGGGGTTTTGTCCTTCAGGATTGTGAAAATTTCATTCCACTCTTTTCTGACCTGAAAAGTAACTGCTGAGAAATATGACAAGAAACTGATGAGAATTCTTTTGTAAGTCACTTTCTTTTATTATCTGTCAGTCTTTAATAGCTTTTTCTTTATCTTTCACTTCATTCTTTCTGCTTCCTGTACATCTATGTTTATCCCTTTTCTTAGGTTCAGGAAATTCTCATCTGTAATTTTTGAATGAGTCTCCTTTCTCTTCTCTCACTTTTCATCTTTTGGACAACTCATTATTCTTATGTTATATAATCTAATTGAGTGTACCACTCCTTTTCTGAAAAGCTTTTCTTGTAATATTCACTATGCCTGATCTAACCTGTGCTGCCACCCTGATCATGATCTTCACCTCTTAATTCACTTTCCCTCCAGCAAGTTACTAAACTCAGTGAAAAACCTCTGGAAAGTCCTCAGTCTCTGTCAAAGAATTTCCAGATCTTCTTTCAAGCTAATTTTAATGTGGTATTATTTTCTTTTTAACTATGGTTAGGTGAAAGAGTGATCTAAACCTCTATATTCTGCCATGTTGTGGGTGAAGTCAAAGGTTGTCTTTTAATTTTGTAATAGTTTTTTTGCTATGTAGAAGCTGTTTATTTTCTATGTAGTCCCATTTGTTTATTTTTGCTTTAGTTCCCTATTGTTGGAGTAAAGTCCCCCAAAATATTTTGATAGTGTTTGCTTATATTTTGTTCCCATTTGCAGTTGCACCAATAATAATGAAATATCTAGAAATAAACTTAACAAAGGCAGTAAACAACCTGTACAATGATAGGTTTAAGATACTTTCAAAAGAGTGAAAAACACACAAGGAAAAATGCTAACAGACTGGAAGAAGCCATACCTTACTTAAAGCAATTTACAGATTCAATGAAATCATTATCAAAATCTCAATGACATTATTCAAGGAAATACAGGAATCTTTACTGAAACTTGTAGGTAGCCACAAAATATCCTTGATACCCAAAGTTATTCTGACATAAAAGAAGAATGGATATATGAATTCCCAAACTATAAACTGTAAGACAAAGCTGTAGAAATCAAAACTGTATGGCATTTGGATAAAAATACATACACACACCTATGAAAGAGATTGAGAAATAAATAAATGAACAATGATATGGACAATTAAATTATAACAAAGGAGCTGAAAGTTAAAAATGGTTAAGGGGAAGTCCCTTTAACAAATGGTAGACACAAGTTAAAGAAGGAATGTAGACCACCATATCACACTGTACACAGAAATAAATTCAATATGGGTTAAAGACTCAGATGTAAGACCTGAAACTAGTAACAGTGTAGTCTTTGGATCTTAAACTAGTTCTGTGATTTCCCAGAAAGCTCCTGAAAAATCTCAGAAGAATATTCTCCTCTAGGTACTGAAGATTACATAGAATCAAAGGTGACATGTATAGTTGTCTTATAATTTAAGCAAAATGTATTTTTTATTTATAATATTCCAACTGTTGACACTAGGCCTTTTCCATGATGTCTCAGCCACATGGAAATAAGAAAGTAAATGGAATAATAAAGTCGACTTATTGGTTCAATTTCAAATACAGATTTCTCTGAATTTTGGGGACCATGATAATGAACTTAGATACACAATAAAGAAACAAACGTTTCATATGAACCTCAAATGAGCTTTTAGATTGGCCATGTGGCTTAGAGAAAGAATGTGAACTGCAGGTACAATCCCCATCCTGAAGTATTCATATACTTACTATATTGTAAAGTACCTGATACAGTCATTACATGGTTCACTGGCACATACACAGTGTTCAGTTACGCAATGTGTGAGGGGAAGAAAATACTATTTTAAGAAAATGCTATTTTAAGCCAGTTCTGGGTTCATGTTCTTATTCTTGTGTTTATGTTCTGCATGTTACTGTCTATCTGAAAATTTATGTTTTTCTTTACAAAAAGGCATCATTCTAAATAAATATCAAATAGGAAAATATTACTTTAAATAAGAAAATATAGCTTTAAAATTAAAGAAATTTATATAATATGCTCATGAAAAAAGTGGAATTACTTTTTGATAGCTGCACTACATAAAGCAAATTCCATGCCCATGTATATTGTAATTGGAGCTACATATAACTGACAAAAGACAACTGGAAAAACAATAATGTTAAGTTCTGAGAGAATCGTAGAGAAGGTAGAAACTCCGGAGAATAGGTCATGACAAGTGTGAGTAATTGAATAAATGAGGAAAGTTGAAAATATTTACTGCATTCCCCAGTTTTGTTAGTTTTGTGCTGGTTCAACTCTGCAAAGTGTTTAAGGACTGAGAGTCACCTTAGTTCCCTAATGTGAAAATATTGATGATGTAACTTCCCTACTTTGGCTCCTGAATTTAAACCACATTGCCCACTTTGCAATGATTAAAGCATCTTTACTAGGTTGGTGTGACTCAGGAATAACCTGTTGAGAGGAAAAGGT